GATACTGATACTGCCCGTTGGCACTCAGTTCTTCTATATCCAAAATATGTGATGTTAAAACCTTGTTCCTTGGCAATTTCACTAAGAAGCTGGATATAATCTGTATTTGGAATACTGAGGAGACTTCTTTTCAGTAAGTTGATCTTTTCACCAGGAGAATTCCTCAAGGAATGCCAAGTACATCCTAAAAAATGTCCAACTACATTTGTTAAAGGAAAGTGATCTCTGGAGAAATAGTACTGCATTTAGCAAGGAATTTCTAGCAGCATTCCTCTTGAGTTGCTTTTTGATGTCCTCTTTCCAGTTTCCATATATGACTCTAGCCTGCAAATTATGGTATATTCCCTCTTATGAGCAGGTCCTCGCTCCTGGGAAAGTGTATATTCAGGAAGTCTCCCACCATGATGGATAGCCAATTCCTGAAATGACCAATAGGATCAAGCTGGTTCTTAGCTTGCTTGGAAGGATCAGATATTAAGGGATTAGAAGCTGCAAATTTCCGTCATGATATTTTTGAGCTGCAGAATAAAAAAAGAGACCTAGCTCACCAAATACTTGCACTGGCTTTCAAAATGTTTATGGCAGCCTCTGCAGCTCTCTGTTTCACTAACTTCTTACTCGTACCTTCACTTTTCCTTTTGTCCCTAGTCCTTGGAAGAAACCTAGGAAAATCCTAAATTAGATATCAGGGTTTCCCTTGACATCTGTGCAAATTATGTCACCCACGTTGAACGTGGACACTGTATATCTACACATGGGACCTTTTGCACTCATAAACCGGATGTTCTTGGTCTTCATGCCGTATTGGTGGGAGGCTTGAATCGGGTTTTTCCCTGGTTTAGCTGTAATCCTCTTGCCGGAACTAAAGGTCCCACCGTCTTAGTGCTCTGGCGGCAGGCCCACCTCCATGCGATGCCTGCTCTGGTACATAGCCAGAAGGGATGGCTAGGCGGCAAGGGCGAGAACCACACAGAGCAGCAGCATCCTTGCCCCCTGACTTGGCAGGTCCAGGAGAAACTTGGTCCTAGCACTGCTGCTGCCACTGCCCCCCGCCCCCCCCCCCCCCGCCTGTGTCCCTCTTCTTGGAACAGCTTTCTAGGTTGTAATTTTGTCCATGTGGAATTCTTTTTTGAGGAGGCATACCCATTAATACTCAGGGTTAACTCCTGGTTGTGCACTCAGGGATCACTCCTGGCAATGCTCAGGGGACCAGATGGCCACGGACCATATGGGACAAACCTGGGTTGATTGCATGCAAGACAAGAACCTGAGCTACCTCTCGTGCTCCGCACTTTGTTCTTGTAGAAAAGATCTATTTTGTTTAGGTTTGCTCACTTGCAGAGTCAGGGTAGAAGCAAAGCCAGGTATTTATTTGGACTCCAGTGCCCTACTGGGAAAAACAATGCCATGAACTCCACAATTGTGAGTGAGGGAAGATTTAAGTAACTTGACCAAGATAACACAAGGCAGTGAAATAGTCAATATTCAAGGCAAGTTTGCCTGACCTTAAACCCAGTTCCTTCCATCAGCACCTGCCCTATGTGGCCCAAAATTGCAGGGGAGAGTAGGGAGGCCTAATCTTAATCTTTTTAGTCTGTTGTTTAGTGAAATTCCAGTAAATTCCCTTAAATAAACTGCCAAGAGTCTTCCAGTCCACAAACAACTCCATACTTCCTCCTCTTTCTAGTGGCTTATTTTTTTCCCTGAGAGATTGAATGGAACTGGGAGTGAAAATGGGATGCTTAACTATGACCCTGGGCAATGTAGACATGCTTTACAAGGACAAAAGAAAAGAGCTATTCTGAAATGCTCAGTCCCGAGCTCAAGTGCTGAATCCAGACATTTTTCTTAGCTCAATAGAGAATTCACTGTGTGACTACTTCAATGCCAGTCCTGCCTCAAACCGGCATCAAACACAACTTTCTTAAATCTCTTTCTTAAATCTCTTCCTCAAAAATATTTCAACTAGGGTAGTTCCAAATATTGCAAGAGATATAACAAAACATTAGTCATTGTTTACCTCAAATCTGTACTGGTAGTCCTGAACTAATATTTGTGAATCTGGGCAATGTTATTTCAAATACATAGAAGACAATGACACACATTTTAAAAAAGACAGTAAGAAAAATGCATTTCTCTACAAAAACAAAAAGTTAAAATTTGTCTTCAATTAGTCTTCAGATAATAAATGTTAGCATACTTAATTTCAGTAAATGGAAGGGACTAACATGAAGAATCAAGAGAGAGAAATGTGTATTCTTATATAGATAATATTTTTCTGTTCTAAATTTATTTCTGCTCACTCCTTATGCCTTTGATATGATGCTGGGCCTGGATATGAAGATGAGAGAAGATACAGAAAAAATAATATACATATGCATATATATTGCACACACATAATATGATATTTCAAAGATTATATTAGTTTTCATTTTCGTGATCTCATTTCAGCTTTACAAACACTTTTAAGGCAGCTAGGACTCTGTCTTTTTCTCATGTAATACTCATAAAGGTGAGATCATCTTTCTACAATGTAAAGGTGACAAAGGAGGGCTGGAGCGATAGTACAGAGGATAGGGTGCTTGCCTTGCATGTGGCCAACTGGGGTTCGATTCCCAGTATCCCATATGGTCCCCTGAGTACCGCCAGGAGTAATTACTGAGCGCAGAGCCAGGAGTAACCCCTGTGCATCTCCAGGTGCGACCCAAAAAGCTAAAAATATTTTTTTAAAGGTGACACAAGGAAGAGTCCTCCCATTATTTGTCATATTATCCACCCACAACCCTTACTGCCTAAAGGGGTAACCCTTTAGGCAGTACTAAATTATCCCCCTCTCCTTTTCATGTTAAAGCTTCTTCTTTATAAATTTCTCTATGAAGATAATAGCCACCATCTCCCTGTCTCTCTCTATATATACATGTGTGTATGTGTCTGTGTGTAACCTCCAGGCAGCTTTGGAGCCCCAAGGCTCTCTCTCTTGCCACCTGGGTTCCATGGACTCGGGCTGCTCCCCCTCCCAGGGTGGCCCATGTCACAGGCAGATGAAGGAGGAAATGAGGACCAGGCTGATTGTTGATCAGTTGCCATTTATTCCATTCTCCCCAAGCACCTGTTCCAGTCTCACTAAGCTCCCCATTCTAGTCTCACACTGCCCCTCATCCTGTTTCCTCCTGTCTGTCCTCCTCACACTCTACGCTCCCTCTCGCAGCCTTGTCTCTCATCTCTCAACGTGCCTGCCCCTATATTCTTCTCCCTCTGTCCCCCTTGTTAGTCTTTCAGCACTCCATCTTGCTGTCCTGGTTTCCCTGTTTTTCTATACTCTACGACTAAGTCATGTCTTCTACCCCTGAATTCCTCTTTTTTTCCAAATTAGGTATATATAATGACCATGGCATTAATGTCTCCTCATAGATATTACGTGGCTACAAAGTGAAAATCTGTGCCAGACAATATTCCCCATGGTTTCAGGCACAGAAAAAGCACTTAACAAATTTTCACCACTATCTGTAGTCTCTGTTTTATAGCTTTTAATTTTATGCTAAGTCTATACTCAGTTGTCCAGGTAAAAAATCCAACACACTGAGCAGCCATGGAGAGAGAGAAAAGAATCTACTTATTTTCTCATAAAATACTATTATTTTTCTATTTATAATTAGCAATGATGCTAAATTTGAAGCGAATTCCCATCTAAAACAACAGAGAAACTATGAAGGAGACATTCAAACTCCTTGGCTATGACATATTACCTCTCTTTATATATTATTTCCAGATTTCCTGCAATGATGTAAGGCCATGGGCTGGAGTGATAGCACAGCAGGTAGGGCATTTGCCTTGCACATGGGCGACCCAGATTCGATTCCTCCGATTCCTCTGAGAGTATCTATCCTGCCTGCATGGCAAAGCCTGACAAGTTACCTGTGATGTAATCAATATGCCTAAAACAGTAACAACAAGTCTCACAATGGAGGTGTTACTGGTGCCCACTCGAGTAAATTGATGAACAATGGGAGGACAGTGCTACAGTGCTACAGATGTAAAGCCACATGAATCATTAGGCATGGGCTGCAAATGAAAGTGAGGGTTTATATCTCCCCACCAGTTTGCAGCGAATGTGGACTGTAAATAAATAATTCAAGTTCCATTATGGAATTAATGCAATGAGTTTGTAGAATCAATTTGAATCGTATCATAAGCTAACCTAAACTAACTTCTTAGTTCTACTTCATAGAATGTATTTCTCTTTTTAATTTTTTGTTTATTTTTGTTTTGTATATACATAATGTTATAGTTTAGGCAACAAAGTTGCGGTATTAGAGTTTATGATATTGGTGTCAAAGAGATATAACAGAAAGTAGTCACTTGCCATAAATACAGCCAACCTCCACTGGTTGTATACCTGGTTCCCCCAAGCACTGCGAGGAGTGATCTTTGAGGACAGAGCCGCATGTACTTCCAGGTGTATCTCCAAAACCATAAAAATAAAATAAAATTTATGGTATTGCTGGGGCTGGAGTGATAACACAGGGGGTAGGGCATTTGCCTTCCATGGGGCCAACCTGGGCAACCCAGGTTTGATTCCTCCGCCCCTCTCGGAGAGCCCGGCAAGCTACAGAGAGTATCCCGCCTGTACGGCAAAGCCTGGCAAGCTACCCATGACGTATTTGATATGCCAAACACAGTAACAAGTGTCACAATGGAGACATTACTGGGCCCGCTTGAGCCAATCGATGAACAACGGGAGCACAGTGACAGTGATGGTATTTCTGTACAAAGTCACTGCACCCCACCATCATCAATGTATCATGAGTCTCACCACTGTCCTTATGTCACCTCTAATACTACCTACAGTCCCCACCTCCACATCTTCCCTTTCTGTTTATCAGTTCTGCAACTTACTACCAAGCATTTATCATACTTATAAAATAATTCTGCATGTTAGTAATGTTAGTAACACAGTCTATTTTCTCAGGTGTTTTCAAGTGTCCCAGAGTGTCACAAACATGTCAGGTTTGCTGCCTTACAGATCTCCAATGAGGCTGTGCCTGTGCCTCATATGTCTCCTGTCCCTTTGGAATACAGGTGAGTCTGTTCAAGGTCTGTCCAAGAGACTTGGCTGAAGTAGCAGCTGCACTTGAGAGAATCACAGAAGCTGATGTTTCAGGCAGGATTCCCGAATGAGTTTGATGTAAATGGCAATAAGAAACTTTGCATTGGCTGTTTTGTCCCTTTACTTTTTGCACTCACTTTCTATTTATGCTTTCGAATTAATCTACTCCCCCTGCTACCATCTTCATCTGAACCATGTATTCTTTTTGCTGGGCCCCTAAGAGAGCTTTCTAAATAAATTTCCTGCCTCTCTTCTCTCTCCAGGACCCACTCTTTACTGCCTGAAAGATCTCTTTACAAATCATTACTGTTCTAACTTCTTTCCTCCTTTCTCCTCTTCTCAAAATTGATCAGTGACTGACTTGCTACTGCTTTGGAGAAATCCTTTGTAACCGTAACATGTTACTGTCCATGAACCATCACCAGGTTCTGAAGTTCTCTCTATCCATCATCCTTTATCTGCATCTCCCTTGGCCTTCTTCCAGTTATTTCATTTCGAGCTCATGCCCATATTAGACTCTGCACCCAGCTAGTATCCATACACTGAATGCCCCTCAGTCAGTTATCCTATTACTGATATTCATTCTTCAGCTCTTAGATCAGCAACACTTCCCAACTATTTTGATCTCACATAAGAGATTAGTCTCTCTGCTACACAGTCTCAAAATTCCATTCAAAGTACTGTAATTCATTCATGACAATGTTCCTGGGTCTTCATATCTTTCAAATCTGCTTTCCTAATTATATGATAGGCTCCAGAAGGATGGATTCTGTCTTTATTCATTTATCAGATCATTCCCAGAATATAAAACATACAGTCTCAATTAATGTATAGGAACTTTATAATATCATCAATTATCAATATTATTATAGTAGATTAGTAATCATCTAACAACTAACAGAATGATGAAAACCTACATGTGATATGTCAACTTTGAAGATACTAATTTTCCACTTCATAAAACAGAAGTTTTGTATTAAATTTCTCTCTGATGCTATATCTAGGTAATAACTTCTCTGATGAAATCTTTTTTCCTTTAAAATATGCCATTAAAGGGGAGAATAAGAAGGAAAGGAATACGATGCTTCTACCTACATCAGGTAAATTGGCAAGTGCTTTCTTCAACTCACTCTATCTTGAGCAAATTCCTGGGCTTCTAGAAACCTTTCTTTTTTTTTTCTTTTTGGGTCACACCTGGCAATGCACAGGGGTTACACCTGGCTCTACACTCAGGAATTATTCCTTGGGGTGCTCAATGGACCATATCGGATGCTGGGAATTGAACCTGGGTCGGCCGTATGCAAGACAAATGCCCTGCCTGCTGTGCTATTGCTCCAGTCCCCAAACCTTTCTTTTTCTTTTGCAAAATAGAGATTGTGTCAACTGCAAGTTTTAAATCATAATTAAATCATAATTCTTTGAGGTGTTTGTTGATTCACAGTTCATGGACCCTAAGAATTCCCATGATTTTTATTAAATTCACAATATTGTGACTTTATGTTAATAATAGATTTAATAATGGTAATTATTTCTATTCACCATTATTACTTTATCCCATCTTTCTTTGCCTATTTGCTTTTGAGGGTGTGAAATGCTGCCTGCAGCAAAAATGTGAATACATTGAAGCAAAAAGGGCACCTAAGGTTCCAGAGCCAAACGTCTATTCCTAACTTTTTGATATAAAAGAAGACTTTTTGTTTTATTTTTCGGCCACACCAGTGGTGCTCAGTGCTGTCTCCTGGTTCTGTGCTTGGGGATCACTTCTGGAAGTGCTCAGAGGACCATATGAGGTGCCAGGGTTCTGGCTCGGAGTTATATGAATCCTGAAGCTTGTAATCTTCCTTGATCCTAGAAACTCTTGCCTCTCTCATGGGGTGTCTTTGCTTCTTGGACAAGTGAGAGGCAAGAACTTGGGCATCTTCCATACGTCCCATTGCGACTGCTTCGGAATGGATTTCTCCTGTAGAGAACCATTCAGTTGCCCTGAGGGAGCCAGAGATCAAGTCGTTTTTCAGCTTTGGGAATAATTAATAAGAAATGTTTACTTGCTTATCGTTCCCTTTAATGTCTCTCCAGGAGCCGTGTTATTTATAAGCATGATATCCACTGACTTTACTGATAAGTTCAATGTTTAATTTTATAGACTGATCACTGATAAAAATAACCAAATAGACTTACGGAAGCAATGGCTTTCTGAATTTCAGTTTTAACCGGGTATTCAAAAAACAATGCTACTTCAGTATCCATCCAGAGATGAATAAAGAAAAGTATAATAAGCATGCATTGTAATATTAGTGAGCTTTAAAAACAACTTTTAGACATTGAGATAAAAACTGTGTGATGAGAAAGAGGGAAAAATGATGGATTGAAATGAGGCTTTTGATGATGAGATAAAATGTAAATATAAAGTTTGCTTTATATTCAAATTATTTTTTAGTCCAGAACTCTTAATATTTTCTAAAAAATGTAACATTGCCAAAAGTTACTGGAAAATTATTATTGTAATAAGTGATTATTTTCATGTTTATTGCCTTGTGTTCTAGCTGTATAGGTTGGATTATAAATTGGAGAAAATAAGAGGAGGTATAACAAACTTTGTGTCCAAATATTTACAGGCATCATCGATTATAGACGTGGGCAATGCAGTTAGTGGGGAAACTCACTTCCTCTGGACAGGAGTGCAGAAAGCAGTCATGTAGAAATTTAATATTTTTTTAAATTTTTATTTGTTGCACCATGATTTACAATAGTGTTAATGATAGGATTCCAACACCACACCCTCCACCAGAGTTTCCCTCCACCCCACCCCATCTCAACCCACCTGTCCTCCACCAGGGTAAGGTCAATTCTGTAATCGGTTGATAGGCTCTATTGTCTTGGGCCTTTTGTGACTTTTTCCTGTGTTTATTTCTGTCCCTAAAGTGAGGTCATGGTTTACAAGACTATGTATGCTTTAAAGGTATAGTTTTAAAACTCTTTAAAATATGTAACCTAGTTATACCTACTACCAAAGTATTTGTACCCCCCTCCTCCACCGCATCAACCCCTACCATCTTCCCAGTTCCATGCTGTCAACCTCATTTCCATAGTCAGATTCCAAGGTTTGATTTTCCGCCTTATTTGCTTCTTTATAGCACATTGTATGAGTGAGATCACTGGGTATTTGTTCTCTTTCCTTCTTACTGATTTCAGTAATTTTATTCTTGTTGCAATCGTGAGGATTTACCTTTTCTTATAGATGAGTAGTACTGCATATATATAAAACACTGTCACTGTCACTGCCCTCCCATTGTTCATCGATTTGCTCGAGCGGGCCCAGTAACACTGTGAGACTTGTTACTGTGTTTGGCATATTGAATACGTCACAGGTAGCTTGCCAGGCTTTGCCGTGCTGGCAAAATACTCTCAGTAGCTTGCTGGGCTCTTCAAGAGGGGCGAAGGAATCGAACTTGGGTCAGCCAGGCTGCCTGCGCACAAGGCAAACGTCCTACCCACTGTGCTATCGCTACAAATTTCTTTATCTGCCCATTATATCAGACATGTGTTAAGGATGTTACAAGTCCTAGAAGGTCATATAATTCTATGATACTATATCATTTTTTATTTCAGTGTCTGAAAATAAAGAAGTGAAAAAGGAAAAAGATGGGGGTTTTCTTGATGCAACAGGTAATCGGACTAGTCCTAACCCTGACTTACCTTATAATATTATATTCTGGTAATATGCTTTTCAACCTCTTTGTGGCCTTTTATATGTTTTTTATAGTTATGTAATTTTTTATTACAAGTGAGATGATATTGTAGGGCAATTAAGGCACTTACCTTGCATGCGAACAGTCTTAATTTGATCCATGCACCGTATATGAATCCCAGAGCATTTCTAGAATTAATCACTGAGTACAGAGACAGGAGTAAGCCCTGAGCACTGCTGGGTGTAGGTATCAAGACAAAACAACAGCTAAAAATAAAAATAAAACTTCTAAGCTATGTGTTTAAAAACTCGTGAGACATTCAGAGTAGTTGTCTTTGCAATACAGCATTACCTCACTTCACCACCATCAAAGTACAATTTTGTTGCCTGCCCCTGCCCCCACCCATGCCCCTGAGTCACCTCCAGCCCACCTACTCCTCTTAATCTGATGATCTCTGTTTAAACTCTAGCATGCAGGGTTTGTTAACAATAGATACTGTATCTACCCATGTTTTTGTTTGGGACCTTATTTTTCCCCATGATTATAAACTTGACACAAAACAACTTCTCTTTTCAAAATCTAATATGAATAATAATCATTGCAACAATAATAACAATAATAGTAGTATTAACAAATAACAAAAACAGTAGTATCATATCATAGAAGTATTTCATCCACACAACGGATATCTGAGGTCTCAGTTTTATGTCATTTTCTCAACGAAGACTTCTCTCCCCTCGACCTGGTTGGGCACCCTAATAGAGGTGTTCACAGCACTATGTGTTCTTGTTTCTGTTCTTAGCCAGCGTGTGTGCGCACAAATCCTTTCCTCCTACCCAAGACACAGACAATAAGCTCCATCAAGGTTGAAGCCTCCAGGTCCCTAACACCTAATATATTGCTTGGCCTTTTGCGAGTGAAGAATAAAATTCCTTTAACATTCAGAGGTTTTTTCTGACATTTTCTTCCTTAATAGTATGAACATTGTCAAGTAGTGAAGGGGCCTGCCATACTGGAATAGCTGTTTTCTGATACTCTAGGAAGTTGTTTCTGACTCTTTCATTACCAGGGCTCATTGTGTACATTTTTCGAATACTTTTCCCGGCTTCTGCCGCATCTACCAGTACTTCTGCTCTTCTCTCTTTGAGGTCTTCCTTGATCGCATCTCTGCACTGCTTTGCAAGCTCGGACGTTAGCTTGCGGTTGCCTGAGGCATGCGCCAAACCACGCTGGCGAATTAGCTCAAGAGTTTTCGAAGATAGGCGACTTTTTGTGGCTATCTC